ACAACACAAATGTCCTTCAATGGGTGAATGAATAAAGAAACTGTATATCCATACAATGGAATACTACTCAGCAATAAAAAGGAACAAGCTATTGATATGCAATGACATGGATGAATCTTAAAGGCATTATACTGAGTTAAAGAAGCCAGTCTCAAAATATTACGTACTGTATAATTCCATTTACATGACATTCTGGCAAAGGCAAAATCACAGTGATGGAGAACAGATCAGTGGTTGCAGGGGTTAGGGGTAGAAGGAGGGCATAACTACTAAGGGATAACATAATGGAGTTTGGGGGGATTCTGTATCCTCATTGTGGTGGTGGTGGTGGTGACGGTTACAAGAATCTAAACATGAGTATACCAACAAAGCCAATTTTACTTCATGCTAATTTAAAAAATAAAATTTAAAAAACTCTATTAAAAGAGAAAACAGACTGAAAATAAATGAACAGAGCTTTCAACTCAAGATGTTGTACAAAAACCATGAAGAAAAAGGAATAAAATAAAACCAGAAATTAATAGTAAACAAACACCAAATAAACATTAGAGATCATTAGTAATCAAATAAACTAGACAAACTACAGTCATGTGCCACATAACAACATTTCAGTAAATGAAGGACTGCATATACGATGGTGGTCCCATAAGATTAGTACCATGTAGCTTAGGTGTGTAGTAGGCTATACCATCTAGGTTTGTGTAAGTACACCCTATGATGTTCACACAATGATAAAATCACCTAACAACACATTTCTCAGAATGTATCCCTGTCATTAAGCAATGCATGACAGTACTGTTAAACACCATGATCAAGTACAGCTAATCCCATGAAGGAAACGTCAATTCAAAATCAGTAATTCTATTAATGTAAATCACCATTAACAAATTAACAGATAAAAAAACATGTATTTATATCAAAAGATGTCAAAAAAAACATTTGAGAAAACCTAATTCCACTCCTGATTTTAAAACAAACAAAAATCGCTCAAACTAGAGACGGAGACTCCCCTGAACTTTGAGAGTAATCTACCAGAGACCTACAGAGCTCTATATATTAAGTGGAGAAATATTGGTACCTTTAAAGTCAGAAACAAAACAACGATGCTCCCTCTCACCATTACTACTCAACACTGTAAATAAAACTAGAAAAATCTAGAGGTATGAATACTAGAAAGGGGATCTTATTGGCTGAATTGTATCCCCCTCAAAATTCAAATGTTGAATTCCTAACCGTAGTACCTCAGAATACGACTGTATTTGGAAATAAGGCTTTTAAAGAGGTAATTAAGTTAAAATGAGGCTACTAGGGTGGGCCCTAATCCAATATGATTGGTGTTCTTTTAAGAAGAGGAGACTTGGATATACAGAGGGACACCAGGGGCCCATGTGCACAAAGGGATGCCCACATGAAGAGGCAGCAAGAGGGTGGTCATCTGCAAGCCAAGGAGAGGCCTCAGGAGAAACCAACCCTACTAGCACTTTGATCTTGGACTTCCAGCCTCCAGAACTGAGAGAGAATAAATTTCTGTTGTCTAAGCCTGTGGTATTGTGTTGTCTAAGTCTGTGGTATTTTGTTATGGCAGCTCTAGCAAACTAAGACAGGGGACATAGATCACCTACTTCAAGAACCCAAGACAATTAACTGAAAAACTAATAGAACTAATAAGAGTATAGTAAGACAATCCAATACAGGATCAATATGGAAAAATCAATTATTTTCCTGCATACTAGCAACAGCCAATTGGAAAATGTAATAGGTAAAAAGGTGCCGCTTTTAATAAGAACCAAACTATAAAATAAAATACCTAGGGATAAACTGAAGAAGAAATATACAAGAAAACCTGAATAAATGGAGAAAGAGACCACGTTTGAAGATAGAAGGACAAGATGGCTTGTTTTGTGATTGCTCATACCCAAAAGGTAAACAGCAGAATGACATCAATGCCATCCAGAAGTTGCACTGGTTCAAAAGCAATTTTCCCTGGCATATTGTTTTTAAATAATCAGTGGCAAATTTTCTCACAATTACAAAGAAAGCCTTAGCAATACATGAAGACATACAGACAAAAGCTAAAAATTCTGCAATAGTGCCTCCCATCAGAGGAAGAGCAAATGGTAGTTCTGTTTTCTACAAAATTAAGCTCTATTGGGAGAGGAGGATGGCTGAGAGAGCAGATGAAAAAGTTGTAAAGACACTATCCCCTGTGTTTAAAGAAAAAAAAAAGATTGCTGAAGGCTAGGTCCTGGATCAGATTTTAATTTGATGAGGTTGGTATCTATCTTATTAAGCAAATGCCCTCAAGAACCTACATCTTGGAAGGAGGAAACCCGAGCCCAGGGTTTAAGGTTACAAAAGATCCACTGACTCTGATGCTGGGTGCAAATGCCAATGGGCTGTAACTGGGCAAGGATTATTATCAGGACTGTCATTATTTGGATCAGTGTTTTGGCTTCAAAGTCACAGAGATTTTGAGGGGTGTGCCCCTAACCCTCTTTTTCTTATAAGCCCTATTATTTTTAGTGTACAAATTTTCAGGACATGAAGTTTTTCAGGAATGCATACATCCCATTACAGCAGAAAGGCTTCTGATGAAAGATGTCTCCATAAATTAATCTAGAAATGCCATGCAATTCTAATAAAAAATCCTAATAGGATTTTTCACCGAATTTGATAAGCTGATTCTAAAATCCATCTGGACTAGAAAAAGCTCAATAATGCCCTAGAAATTCTGGAAAAATAACAAGTAGGTAGGTATCTCCTTGTTAAACTGCCTTTGTAGTGTTGCTGGGCAAAGCAGGGAGGGGGAGGGGAAAGCAGAGGCTGAGTAAGCTGTTTGTTCTGAGGGGACTAGTTAGACTAGGTCTGGATGTCTTGGCTGTAGGTCGATGTGATTGTCTGCTGAAGGTAGGGTGGGTGGCCAGGGGAACTTGGCACGCCCCTAAGACCAATCACAGCTTACCCCAGAGACGGGCTTGCTGAGAGCATCTGAGCTCTCCTCAGGTCTAAAGCAAGTTCTGCAGAGGGGATCTGCCCTGCCAGACACAAGGCCTATAGTAACTAACCTACGTGGCATTACCACAGGAATAAGACAAATTGATTTTATGGAACAGAACAATATTAACAATATCTAACACGCAGCAGTTATCATGTGCTGGGCAATGTTCTAAGTGCTTTATGTATATTAATTCATTTAATCCTCACAACAACCTATGAGGTAGGTACTATTATCACAGAGAGGCACAGAGAGGTTAACTAGCTTGCCCAAGGTCACATAGCTATTAAGGGATAGAAGTGGGAATAAAGTAGAAAAACAAATCCACATATATATAGGAATTTAGTTTATGACAAAAGTGAAACTTCAAATCAGGAGGATAATGGCGAACTAGTCAACAAATGGTGTTGAGGCAAATGACTATCCACATGGAGAAAAGTAAACTTAGATTCTTACCTCCCACAATTCACAAAACTTAATTCCAGATAAAGAGCTAAAATTTTAACTTCTATACAAGTTTTGGGTGAAAATAAGAAAGACTTCTTACACAAGACATAAAATACAAAAAAATTGATAAAGATGACTATGTAAAAACTGAAATCTTCTACATGCTAAAAAACACAATAAAATTAAAATACAAACAACAGACCAGGAGGAAATATTTTTCAACATTTCCAGAACATATAAAAAACACTCCAACAAATGTAGAATATATAAAGAACTCCTAAAAATCAATAAGAAAAACAAACATCCTAATAGAAAAATGGGTGAAAGACTGAATAGATAATTCACAGAAAAGGAATAAAGAGCCAATAAACACATAAAACAAACAAACTGAGACACCATTTTTTGCCATCAGATTGGCAAAAATTAAAAAGGCTAACATCCACTGCTGATAAGGCTGTAGGGAAACAGGTATTTCTCATACACTGCTCATATACCGGCCCTTTTGGAGGGGAATTTGGCACTATTAACATTTATTTTACACATATCCTTCAGCCCAGCAGGTCTAGCTACCCTAGAGAAATGTTAACTGGCACATGGGCACAAAGGGTTATTTACAAGAATTTTCATTGCAGCATTGCTAGTAACACTAAAATATTAGAAACAACCTCAATGTTAACCAGCAGGGAATGGTTAAACACATGATGGTACATCTATGCTATAGACTACTATGCAGCAGGTAGATCTCAGTGTATTGAAGTAGTTCTCTATGTACTGATGTTGAAAGATATCCAAGCAAGTTGTAGAATTACACACATTAAACAAAACTATACCTTTATCTATCTCTGTCTACATATGGGTGTAAACACAAGAAAATGAAAGGTATACATCCAACTGATAATAAAGGTTACTTTTGGGTAACCTTCCTCAGAGGGGGAAGAATGCTAGTCAAAGGGAATTTTTGCTTCCTCTGTCTTGTTCTAATTTTGGTCAATGAGCGTTAATTTTTTAAAAATAATATTAAAACAAAAACCCACACTAAAGTCAGCTGCACTATACAAAAAAGTGCTTTATATATTGTAGTATTCAATAAACCTTATCTTAAAAAAAAGGAGTCATCTCTTAAATGTAAAAAGCCCACTGCAAGGCCATTATATACCTTTGCAAGAGATGAACTGAATGACACAGAACACAAATGCTATAAGTGATGGAAGTAAAATAGGCAAGAGGGAAAAATGTCACCAGAAGTGAAGGTTGGACAATGCTAAAAATGGATGACAGCTAATTATAATAGCCACCATTTTTTGAGGCCTCCCATGGGCAAGACACTGTGCCAGGTGCTCTATGCAAGCATCATCTCTAATTCTTATATCAACCTGTGAGATATCCCCATTTTACAGATTAAGAAAATACAGCTCAGAAAAACCAAGTATCAGGTTTAAAGGCCAGGCCTTTGCTCACTACAGGCTGTCTGGGATTGGGATTGGGATTGGGACTGGGACTGAGATTGGGGCTGGGGGGAGCCTTTCTGGAATGGACCCAAGTGCTCAGCTGCCCTTACTATACTCTGCATCCTTGAAGCATGCTCCCAAGCTGTCCTGTTCATCCAGACTGGCGTTCTCCTCCTCCTCCTCACTCTCGGTTCTCCAGTATGCTGGACGCTTGATGGGCCGCTTCCCTGGGGTGCGCTGGGAAGCAGGACTGCTAGACACTGTGCCCAGCCCACTGCTGGAGCTCCCACTGCTTCGGTCCTGTCCCCCGGTCCACCAGGCCTGCAGGCTGGAGGTAGCGGGTGAGGATGATGAAGATTGCAGATTGGCCATGCACAGCATGCCCTGGATGGCCTCCTGAGTGCTGGGAGAGGCAGGGGCCTCGCTGCAAAGGACAGAGGAGAAATGCTGAGGGAGTTTCTCTAGTTGTCAGAGGAAACCAGTCATCAGAATAGGCAGGGAGGAGGGACAACAGCTTCGGGGCTCAGGGTAGGAGGAAAGAGGAGAGAACCATCCCAGGTGAAAAACTAAAAATCAAACTAAAGGATCAAGATAGTATCAAAGACAGTTTTCATGAAAAGGCCAGTCCTTCTTGCCTCAAGTCTCTCCACAGACAGCAGGCAAGATGGCAAAAAGGGGGGCGCACCTCCCTCCTTGTTCACCCATGCTGCATCCTTTCGCTTTTTTAAACAAGGCCCAAGAAAGGCCCAGTTCTCCTTCCATGCCTCTTCCAGCCCTTCTTCCAACTTCCAAATAACCCAAATTGATTCTCCTTGAAGTCTACACATCCTCTCTCCGTCAGATCTTAAGTTCCTCAGGACAGATTTCATGTCTACTTTATTCTTTTAGCCCAAATGCCCTGGTTAATTCTTTGTCCCTTTAAATGTCTTGAAAAATATCTGCTGATTGGCTGACCTAGCCCTTTGGGCAGCTGGGGGGGGGGGCGGAGGAGGGGGAGGTGTGTGCTGTCTGATCACCTGGAAAGGGGAGATCAAAGCCAGTACTCACGTGAGGGCAGCATAGTCAGGTCCCCCCACCTGCCTGCTGGCCTTGAGCAGATCAAGAATTCCACCAGCTCCACTCCCATTCCCGAGCTTGCTTTCAACTCCTTCTACCATGTCCTCATCTGTTGTGTAGTCCTCCTGTTTGGGAAAGAGAATATCACCTCAGCTGCCCAGAGTTGGTCTGGTAAGGCCCCAATACAGGGTTGACAGTCTCACTCCTGATACTATCTTCTGAGCTCCAAGTACAGACCAAGTACCAAACAGAATACTCACTCTTTCATCTTAATCTGCCCAGCATCTTTGTGAGGTAAGTATTATAATTCCCATTTTACAGATAAGGAAACTAAAGCTCAGTGAAGTTAAATAATTTGTGTAAGGTCACAATCAGATATTCCAAATCAGATACTCTTTCTGCTACATCACACTGCCTTTTATTCTATTCTGTTTTAAAGGATTTTAAAAGTATTTCAACTAAATTATAATCTTCCATTTATATGCTCAGCAGCACTTAGCACACAATATTTTTCACTTAATAAATATTTTAGGAATTGAATACATAGGATATCTTTTTTCCCCCCAACTAGAATGATAATCTGTCCTCTGTCTCCATAACCAGAATGAGCAGAAGACTAGACACATGCCAGGCTCCTACCTCAATGTCAAATTCAACTTCTCCTGGTTCACGAACTCTGTTGGGGTCAGAGCAAGGCTTCGCACGGGGCAACTTTCGGGGAAATTCTAGAAAACAATAGAATGCACTTATCATAAAGCTAAGATTAGCATCTGAGCCAAACACTCAGGGGAAAGAAAATAAAACTATAACTTTCCTGAAAGTAATGACCATAGATGACTAATTTAGGGAGGTTAGGAATTAGCTTATAAATAAATCTCTAGAGGACAGGATACATGGAGGCCTACAGAGCTGGTAAATCAGAATGTTAACAAGCTCAGGCCTAAGGTCTTAAGTCTATTAAGGGGACCAAAAACAAACATGAAACAGGCAGGCAGGAAAGAGAAAGAACAGGTACACACTTGGTCTTATTATCAGGGTCGCTTTCTCCTTTCCCAATCTCTCATCAATCTGCAGTTCATCATCTGAATCCAAGTCAAATTCATCCTCCATCATCTGTTCCGCCACTAGCCTAGCCTTGTCTGCCTTCTTCGCAATCTTGGCTCGCCGAGACTTGGATAAGCTCTTTACCCTCTTGGTACTGGACAGAAAGAGAAAGAGAATATAAAAACAGTCACACTTTATTTAAGTTTATTTATTGTTAAGATGGCAATTTCCCAAACTGATCTACAGATTCAATGCAATCTCTATCAAAATGCAGCTAGCTTTTTTGTAGAAATTAATAAGCTGATCGTAAAATGTATATGGGCATACAAAGGACTTAACATGGCCAAACAAATTTTGAAAAAGAACAAAGTTGGAAGACTTATACTACTTAATTTCAAAATTTACTATAAAGCTATAGTACTCAAGGTAGTGTGATACTGGCATAAGGATAGACATATACATCAGTGGAAGCGAACTGTGAGTCTAGAACTAAACCCTTATATTTATGGTCAACTGATTTCTGACAAAGGTGCCAAGGCAATTCAGTGGGGAAAGGATGGTCTTTTCAACAAATGGTGCTGAGATAACTGGATATTACATGCAAAGAAATGAATGGGGACTCTTACCTCACATCGTACACAAAAATTAACTCAAAATAGATCATAGATCTAAATGTAAAAACTAAAACTATAAAACTTGTAGAAGAAAATATCGGAAAATATCTTTGTGACCCAGGATTAGGTAAAATTCAAAATGTTTGTGCTTCAAAAGACACCATTAAGAAAATGAAAAGACAAGCCACAGACTAGGAAGAAATATTTGCAAATCATTTATCTGGATAAGAATTTGTATCCAGAATATTTAAATAACTCTTAGAATGCAATAATAAGACAAACAAGCCACTTTAAAAACGAGCAAAAGATTTGAACAGACATTTCTCTAAAGATGACATACAAATGGCCAATAATCACACAAAAAGATGCTCAACATCATTAGTCATTAGGGAAATGCAAATCAAAAACACAATGAGATACCACTTTACATCCATCAGAATGGCTATAATCAAAAAGACAGACAATAACAAGTGTTAGCCAGTATATGGAGAAACTCATAATTGCTGATGGGAATGTAAAATGCTACAGACACTTTGGAATAAATTTTGGCAGTTTCTTAAAAAGTTAAACACAGAGTTACCATATGACTCCAAATTTTACTCCTAACTGAGAAAAGAAAACATATGTCAACACAAAAACTTGTACACGAATGCTCATAGTACCATTATTCATAATAGCCAAAAAGTGGAATCAAACTAAATGATCATCAACTAGTGAATGGATAAACAAAATGTGGTATACCCACACAATTGAATACTATTCAGCAATAAAAAGGAACCAATTAATGATACATACTACATCATAGACGAAACTCAAAAACATTATGCTAAGTGAAAGAAGCCAGACACAAAAGACCACATATTATATGATTCCATTTATATGAAATGTCTAGAAAAGGCAAATCTATAGAGATAGAAAATAGATTAGTGGTTGCTTGGACCTGGGGAAGACAACCAGGACTGACTGTAAGTGGGTATGAGGGATCTTTCTGGGGGCATAGAAATGTTCTAAAATTGGATTGTGGTGATGGTTGCACATTCTTTAAATTTACTGTCATTTAATTGTACACTTAAAACAGGTTAATTGTACAGTATGTAAATCATACTTCAAAAAAGTTGTTAAAAATATATAAAGGAAGTAGAAAAAACTCAAAAGTGGCCTAAATAATCCTGTTACACGTGGTAAACAATATTAACCAGTACAAATTGCTGAATAAACCTTATAGTTAAAAAGAAACAAGTTTCTGGTAAATCAGTACACTTGATACATTCAGAAATAGTCATTTGGCAAACTGGCTTTCAGTGAATTGGTTGTTATTAAATTGACCTGTTTTCTACCTATAGGGTTGCCGGGAGGATTAAAAGAGCTAATGCAGAGACTGACACATGGCAAGTGCCCAACGGTAACTAATCTTATAATTAAATTCTCTGAGCCTCACTTTCCACATTAGTAAAAATGGGGATAACAACACTTACCTTCAGGATTGCTGTGAGGACTAAATAAAATAATGTATGTAAACAACTAAGATGGAGTCTGACACAGGGCAGGTGCTCAATAAATGATAGCTATTTGAACCCTGATCTTTTATTAACTTCTAATTATGAAAAATGTCAAACATACAAAAATATAAAAGTATAACAAACTCCCATGTACCTATCACCCAGCTAAGTTTCAGCAACTATCAACATACTGCCAATTTTGTTTTATCCACACCTTAGTCCCTGCAAAACACTGGATTATTATGGAGAAAATCCCAGACATAACATCACACTGTCTGTAAATATTTCTATACCTTGACTCCCCAGGTTCACATAACAGCAGCCTCTGGCCGATGCAGGAGGTAATAGAAGCAGCACAAGAAAGACTGGTGGGGAAGGGGAAAATGTCTCATTGTGTCCTCAATAGCCATTATAGGCTGGACCCTTAGGACTCTCAATTTTCTCTTCCCCAGGAGACTGACCATGGGTTCTGGACAAGGGCAATGCTCAACAGTCTTTTTATCTTACTGTTTACTAACTAGTTTCTCAAATCCCAAAGATAGCTCTGCTGCTTTCAGAATCTGCCCTACTCTTACACTCCCTTTTCCTTTATTTCACAGCCAGGTGGACCTAGTACACTCGCCCTTGGGATCTGAAGACAGCCTTTTCCTACAAAACAGCTATTAAGGTATCCTCATCGCTTGTGTTCCTACACTGTTCATGCTCTGCACTTGGTTCTTGACTGCTCCTGTCTGGTGTTCTGAGTGTCCAGATGATAACTCTCACTGTCTGCCTCTGCTTCTGCCTCCCTACATGTTTCAGGGTTTCTGATGACCTACTTATCTTCTAGCCATACCCACACCATCATCATCACTACCACCGTCATCATCAACTTCATCATATTTATAAGAGCTACCATTTATTAAGCATTTACTATGTGCCAGGCCTTGTGATAAGCACTTTACATACATTGTCTCATTTAGTCCTCCAACAACCCTAAGGTAAGTTTTATCTATAGGAGATATAATGAGGACACTGAGGCGCAGATGGATTAATTAACTTGCCAAGGTTGCACAGCAAATACATGTCAGAGCTGGGATTCAAACTCGAGATTGTCTGATTTTTGTTGTGAACAGCTTTTATTTTATTCTTTTAGAAAATGTTCTGTTAAAAATTATTTAAGAAAATACATGCTCATTGTATAAAATTCAAATGCTATTGAATTCCTCTCCTGCCTCCCCTATCCTACTTTCCAGAGATAACTACTGTCATAAGTTTGGCATGACAAGTATAAAATATATAACAAATATATTTATTTGCATGAATGTGTATAAATATCTCTGAAAGGAAATCACTGATATTGGTTGTTCATGGGGAGGGGAACTGAAGAACAAGAAGGGGTGGGAGCGAAATTTTCACTAAGTATTCTTTCACACTTTTTGAATTTTTTTTTTTTTTTTTTTTAAAGATTTTATTTATTTATTTTTCCCCCAAAGCCCCAGTACATAGTTGTCTGTCATAGCTGCACATCCTTCTAGTTGCCGTATGTGGGACGCGGCCCCAGCATGGCTGGAGGAGTGGTGCCTCGGTGTGCACCCGGGATCCGAACCCGGGCCGCCGGCAGCGGAGAGCACGCACTTAACCGCTAAGCCACGGGGCCGGCCCCCTTTTTGAATTTTAAACTGCATTAATTTTAAAGATTTTATTTATTTATTTTTTCCCCCCAAAGCCCCAGCAGATTGTTGTATGTCATAGCTGCATATGCCTTCTAGCTGCTGCATGTGGGACGCTGCCCCAGCATGGCCGGAGAAGCGGTGCGTCAGTGCGCGCCCGGGATCCGAACCCGGGCTGCCAGCAGCAGAGCGCGCGCACCCAACCGCTAAGCCACGGGGCCGGCCACCCTAAACTGCATTAATTTTAAACTTCTTCAAAAAAGTTAAATTAAAAATAAAGGAAAAAGTCCATATGTCACTCTTCTACAGAAGCACACACAAACGTGTGCACATGTGCTTTTTTTAAAAATTAAAATGGAAGCATTCCTATAAATTATTTTATAACCTGATTTTTTCACTTAAGAATATATCTTGGACATCTTTTCTTGTCAACAGATATTAAACTTATTCTTTTTAACAGCTACATGGTATTCTATTGTATAGATGTACCATAATTTATTTATCCAACCCTTATTGATGAACATGTTTCCAACTACTTACTATTACAAACAATGATGCATTGAACACTGAACATTTCTCTTTACACACCTGTGAAAATATTTCTGCAAAAAAATTTCCTAAAAATCGAAGCGCAAAAGGTATTTAAAAAACTAATGCTCTTAACCAGTATGCAATACTATCTCTCATTCCTGCCAGTGGTTCTGACCCACTGACTTGCTGAAATTTCTAGAACTTATACAAGACTTTTGTCAGGATTGCCAGTTAGATTCCGATCTCTCCCCCTACCCACCCCAACACTCCCATGGTTCTCTGAACTAAGCAACGATATCTGACAATATATGGGTATTTCCCCAAGTACAGTCCCTCCCCTACCCATGTCTTAGCCCCAGGTCCCAATTCCATGCCTTGTCTTAGTGGCATGTTGCCACCAACAGTCCCAGTATCTCTGTGCTCCTTCTTCCCACCTCACCTGCCATTAGACATCAATAGGGCCAGCGGGCCCTCATTCCCATCAAGGTCCAAGTCTGGCGAGTCATCGTCTGAGTCATTCAAGCAGGTACCAGTGATGTTGAACTGCAGAAGGAGGAGGCTCAGTTGTCACCTGTCTGGGACTCCCATGTGAATCAGGATGGCCAGTTCCCTCTGGTTTCACTGGTTGAGTTCACTGGTTGAGTTCACTGTCAAAACCACCTGAACCAAGGCCTTCTGCTAAACTGTCCCCCACTCCCACCCCAAATGATCACAGGAGCAAGAGGTTGAGAATATATGGCTGGCTCAGGAGAAACCTATCAATCTTGTAAAACATATTCCCTAAAAAGAGGAGGGAACATCCTCACATGCCCATGGAGGGCACCACAATCTTGAAGCAAGGTGGAGCCCTGGAGGAGGGCTTTTCTCAAGGACCTGTGCAAGACTCCAACATGACACTCATATACCATGTTCTCAAATGTCATTGCCATCTCAGCATTTCAAGATTCAGCTCAAGTGTCACATTTTCTGAGACGAGCATCTCACCATCACCCCTACCCAAGTAGAATCATCCCCCTCTGTGTTTCAGGGTCCCATCTACACCCTTGATTGTGGCATCCACAACACTTCATTGCACTCATTTGTTTTTATGTCTATCTTTCTCACTAGCCTGTCAGCCTCTTGAGGGTTATGTCCACAGCACCTATCACAGTGCCCAGCACAGACAAGGTCTCAATAAATGCCTATTAAATGAGTGGGACTGGTAGCCAAACATCAGGGGCCCTAAGGGAGGTGGGAAAACAGGATAGCCTGTCCTTTTGATACCCTGCTTTTCCAAGGGACCCAAAAGGGTTGGGCTGAACCCATGGGCCAGCACCCACCTTTGCTTTCTGGGAAGAGCCTGTCTTCAGTGCCTGATGATTGTATGTGTCCATGAGATTATAGCTCAGTTGGCCAGCAGGCCCCAAGGCTGAGCTTTCCTTGCCCTTTCGCTCTGCCTTCTTGAAGAGTTCCTTGGGCTTCAGGGCTTTCTTCTTTGAACCACTTTTGGAGGGCAGTGACAGCCTGGACATGGATACTGAAGTGGAATGGGCTGGTCTGGTTAAGGGAATGGAGCCGGCTGGGAAGATCCTCTGCAGCCCAAAGATATTGCTCGTCTTCCCAACGTTCTGTTGGAAGATATCCTACAAGAGTGTTAGTACATGAGGCGGTTAGAGCTTACTCAAGGGTTCTCTCTATGCTAAGAGCAGAGGTCTGTTCATGGCATTGGTGGTACTGCCATGGAAGTGGCTTACAGATGCTCCACATATGCACACCCTAGTTTTTGCACAATGAGTCATCAAGAATTTACTGGGTGGCATTTTCTTTACCCAGCCATTGATGAGTAAGGAGAAGACGAGCAGAGGAAAAGCCCAGCACCACTGTCAAAATTGGAGAGAAAAGACTCCAAGAGCAGCTGACATGACAGAAAATAATTGAGTACAAAACTGTGTGGTTCCAACTCTAACGACTATAGGATTTGAGAGATGGAGAGAGGTCCTAGTCCTAATTCTACTACTAGCTAGCTCTGTGATCTTGGCTAATTGCTCTGACCGCTCTGGGGCTCTGTTTGATAAGCTGTAAAATTAGACTGGAAAGGTGAACCAAAGATGCCCTGTGGCTCCTTTGAGCTTCTTGGGAGGAGTTCTGGGGACTGGAGGTAGATGGAAGGCAAACAAGAGGAACAAGTGGAGCTCCAAGCCTCCCGCCTTCATCTTATTCATAGCAGCTATGCTTTGGTTGTATATATTGGGATTCAACGTAAGATCTCATTTGAAAAAAAGGATTACATTGCTTTAAAACATTTGAAAGCCAATGGACCAGATATGATCCATCTCTAAGTCCTCTTCCAACCAGCCCAAAGTTCTGTGTATACAAAACTGGTTTAAGCGGGAAGAACCAGAGAAAAGCTAGGCCTTTTAACTAAACCCTGAAGGATTCTGACAGGTGGGAATGGAGGAGAATGAAGTAGGAGGTGAACAAGGCAAGCTATGGTGTAGGCAGTGACACATGCTGCAGGCAGTAAGGCTAGACTAGAAGCCCAACTTCTCAGTAGCTCACTCTGATCACCCTTCAGCATTGATTTAGTGCCTACATCCTGGGTACTAAATGGAACTTGACAGCTTTTGAGCTAGACGAAAGTTTAAACTTCCTCAAGACCAACTCTCCTGTGGTGCCTCTGCTATTTCACCAGCCCACACTGAGTTCTCTCTTTGCTGCAAAGTCTATTAATAATGGCTCACATTTATTGAGTACTTACTCTGCCAGGCACTGTGTGAGGAGCTCTACATACATTAGCTCTTAATCCTAACAAAACTATGAAAAGGTAGTTAAATTCACTTTACAGATAAGGATACTGAGGCTCTGAAAGGCTTGCAAGTGACAGAACAGGAACCAGAACCCAAGTTTCTCTGAGTCTCTTACCACTACCCCTTACTGCCTCATGGTATATGCCACCTGTTGAAACATGGCTTTGTAATCATCTTCAACCCAGGAGAACTGTCATTTTGCAGAATGCAGAGACTGAGTCAAAATATTAATAACAACAACTACTACTACTATGATCACCACCACCCACCACTACCATGACCCACTATCAGAATTTATTGAGCACCTACTGTGTGCCAAGCACTATACTTAGTGCTCAACCTCAACTACCTTATTTAATCCTTTTAATAACCCTTGAGTAGGTATAATTATCCCCACTTTAGAGATGAGGAAACTGAGGGTCAGACAGGTTAACTTTGCCCAGGGTCCTCTACTAGATTGTGAGTTCTTTGTGGACAGCCACTGCATCATTTATGTATCCTAAGCACCTAGCCCAGTGTGTGGCACACTGGAGGCGCACAGTAATTATTTGAATGAATGAATAAATGAATGAATGAATAGGGTCCTTGGTGGGGTCTTCCCAACCCTTCCCCTGAGCTCTCATGCCAACTGCAAAACCTGACCTGCCACTTGAGCCTCGAGCCCTTCCCAAACGCCTCCCCTGCCCCCATGCTTCTTACTTCCACCAGGCGGATCTCCCTAGCAAGATCTTTAATGAGCTGTACGGTCCGCACTGTCTCTGGGATCTCATCCTCGTGGTCCGGCAGAGCCTGTCAAACAAAAGTCATGAGGAACAGGCCCATACATAAATGGACAACTGATTTTCGACAAAGGTACCAAAGCAATTCAATGAAGAAAGCGTAGTCTCTTTAACAAATGCTACTGGACCGACTAGATATCCATATGCAAAAAAAGAACCTCAATCCACATCTTGCACCATACACACAGACACACAAATTCAAAATGGATCATAAACCTGAATGTAAAATCTAGAACTATAAACTCTTTAGAAGAAAACAGGAGAAAATCTTTGTGACCTTGGTTAGCCAAAGATACTTAGGATACAAAAAGCGTGAACCATAAAAGAAAAGACTGATAAATCGGACTTAATAAAAAATAAAAACTAAGACAAACCACAGACTGGGAGAAAATATTCGCAAAACATATATTTGATAAAGGACAGTGTCAAGAGGTGTGAGGAACTCAGTTGTGGGCTTGGGCCACACCACTTAAAAAGTCAAGGACCTCAGGGAGATCCCTGGGGACGACCTGGCCTCTCCACTTGTGAAGACAGAACTCAGTGCTGAGCAGCTACAGGCCCATAGCTAGCTTAACAGCAACCCAGGGAGAGACCTGTTGGTTGTCTCTCTTTTAATTTGTTTGCAATCTTTTTGAGTCCTTGAGATTTACATCTTTATGTAGACAGATCTCTCAAGCTTTCCCTTTGTGATTTCTTCCACCGGCTTTCACTTCACTACTGTATTCAGAGGACAGATAAAAATTCCTCAGCATATCCTTCTTGTTTCCCATGGTTTGATTCTTTTTTCCTTTAACTCTTTTAATCCATCTGGAATTTATTTTGGTGGCTGAGCAGGGGTGGGGGCTGAGAACCCATGTGACCCAGCTGGATAATCTTAACAGCTCCCTCCTCCCAGCCCAGGAGCTCAGGAAAGGTGAGGGAGTGCCTCCCATGGAAGTGGTCTGCACTTCACAAAAGACTTCTTCTTCCATGAGTGTGGGCTCCTCACATCTGTGTCCTACTCTCCTCCAGCTCCCTTTGGCCACGCTGTTTGGGGCCATCCCTTGGTCCCTGGGGCCATCCTGGCCCAGGGCATGAATGCTTAGGACCCACCTACCTCCCTCCCTTTTGATGTTCCCAGGATAGAGTCTCTCTGAAGTTCACTTCATGGGCTGGTCAGAGGAGAAACCCAAGGTAGCCACACCTGAGGGGTGTGGAGAAACAGAATCACAGGCTAAGGCCCAGCTGTAGGTGAGCCCAGGGAGCAAGAGAAGGCCCAAAACATGAAATCCAAGGATAGCTGAGGGGCAGGCTGGTAACGGGAAATGGGGAGATTGTGCAAGTTAAGCCTACAGTGGCTGAAAGGTCTCCTTAGGCCACTGTATGCAGGGGAAAGAGTCTATAAGAAGTATCAGAAGCATTAAGAGAATATATTGATATTTCTTCTACTTTTTTTACATTTCTTAAAATTGTTTTTTTAAAAACATTCAACATTTTGAGTAGGTAATCCATTCACATAGTTCAAAAATCAAACAATATAAAAAGATACATATTGAAAAGCCTTAATATATATCTGTCCCTGCCATCAGTCCCATTAGCCTACCCCCACAGGTAACCACTTTTATTAGTTTCTTCTGCATCCCTCCAGATTGTGTCTTTGGGCAAATACAAGCACATATCAATATAATTCTTGTTTTCCCCCTTTTTACACATAAGGTAGCACACTATACACATGGTTCTACACCTTTACTTGACAAATTCTGTAGAGCTTTCCAAATCAGTACATAGAGAGCTTACTTAATCTCTTTTATAGTTGTTTAGTATTCAATTGGATAGATGGATATTAGTATATTTCTTTTTTTCTTTCTTTCTTTCTTTTTTTTTTTTTGGTGAGGAAGATCAGCCCTGAGCTAACATCCATGCCGATCCTCCTCTTTTTGCTAAGGAAGACTGGCTCTGAGCTAACATCTATTGCCAATCCTCCTCCTTTTTTTTCCCTCAAAGCCCCAGTAGATAGTTGTATGTCATAGTTGCACATCCTTCTAGTTGCTGTATGTGGGACGCGGCCTCAGCACGGCTGGAGAAGCAGTGCGTCGGTGCACGCCCGGGATCCGAACCTGGGCCGCCAGTAGCGGAGCACGTGCACTTAACCAGTAAGCCACGGGGCCAGCCCCATTAGTATATTTCTAAAAAGCCATTGTAGCAGTATGCATCAAGAGTCTTACATTTTTTGGGGGTAGGCCTGGTGGCACAAGCGGTTAGGTGTGCACGCTCCACTGCAGCGGCCTGGGGTTCGCCGGTTCGGATCCCGGCACGCACCAATGCACCGCTTGGCAAGCCATGCTGTGGCGGCGTCCCATATAAAGTGGAGGAAGATGGGCACGGATGTTAGCCCACGGCCAGTCTTCCTCAGAAAAAAAAAAGAGGAGGATTGGCAGATGTTAGCACAGGGCTGATCTTCCTCACAAAAAAAAAAAAAAAAAAAAAGAGTCTTACATTTTTTCATATACTTTGATCTAGTAATTGCTCTTCTAGGAATCTATCCTGAAGAAATAATCAAGAGATGAGGGACAAAGACCAATGCAAATATTCACTGCATGATTTTCTATAACTACCTCCCAAATAAATAAAAAGGAAGCCACAATAAACAAGTGGTTAGGTAAGGATGGTACATCCCTGCAAAAGAATATCATGTAACTATTAAATGTTTATGGAGAACTCTGGTGACACAGGAAAATTAAGACAAGCCAACCAATTCAGATACAAAATTGTATGTACAGGGAGATAGCAATTATGTTTTTAAAATGCATATAAAAAAGACCAGAAGAAAATACACCCAAATGTTAATGTTAATTCCCTCTGAGTGTTAAAATTACAGATGATGTTTTTCCTTCTTTACACTCTCCTGTATTTTTCTAATTCTCTAGAGTAAGCATGTATTACTTTTTATATAATCAGAAGAAAAGCTTAAAAACGTAATCCAAGGAGTCCTAGCCCAGTCCTCCACTCTAACCCCAGGAGCGCAAGCCTCCCTGGCCTCTTCCACCTCCCCAAAGCATCTCCCAAAGCCAGTCCCTGCTGAGGGCAGAACTCTAGATGAGGTAGAGAAGTAAGTATATTTACTTCTTTCCTTGTCCAGGCTCTAAAGGCCAAGTTCAGGGCTTTGCCACCATGGACCAGGTAGGAGGCAGGGTGTCTCCTATTTTCTCTCAAACCTAAAGGGGGAAAGAAGAAGGCAGAGCGTCAATGAAGCCATGCAGGGAAGTGAAAGACTTGTTACTTTTTTTAGGCAACTAGAGAAAATGCTCAAGGTTCTGAGCATAACTCAAGCTCTCAGGTCTTATAACAGCGTTCGTTTTTTTTTTTTTTTTTTGTGAGGAATATCAGCCCTGAGCTAACATCCATGCCAATCCTCTTCTTTTTGCTGAGGAAGACTGGCCCTGAGCTAACATCTTTTGCCAATCCTCCTCCTTTTTTTCCCCAAAGCCCCAGTAGATAGTTGTATGTCATGGTTGCACATCCTTCTAGTTGCTGTATGTGGGACG